GCGCGGGGGCCCCGGGGTGACGGCTGGCCCCCCCGCGCAGGTACAAGAAGCTCCTGGGGAAGGCGCGGAAGTACGAGCTGGGCCGCCACAGCGTGGTGCTCTGCACCTGCTCCTGCGCCGCCGCGGCCAGCCTCAAGGGCCTGCAGGTCCGGCAGGCGCTGGTGGACGAGGCGGGCATGGCCACGGAGCCCGAGACCCTCATCCCCCTGGTCAGGTTCCCGGGGGCCGAGAAGGTGAGGCGGCGTGGGCTGGGCGCCCCCGGGCGGGCACTGCCGACGCGCCCCGGGGGCCGGCGGAGTCGGGGCGGTGCGGCCACACCTGCGTGTCGCCGCAGGTGGTTCTCCTCGGGGACCACAAGCAGCTGCGGCCCGTGGTCAAGAACGAGCACATGCAGAGCCTGGGGCTGGACCGGTCCCTCTTCGAGAGGTACCACAGAGACGCCCACATGCTGGACACGCAGTACCGCATGGTGAGCCGGCCGGCCGGCCGCCCCGCCCCCTTGCCCCCCTCGCCCCCCCTCGCCCCCCGGCCTCCCCACCTCGCCCCCTCGCCCCCCCGGCCTCCCCACCTCGCCCCCTCGCCCCCCCGGCCTCCCCACCTCGCCCCCCTCGCCCCCCGGCCTCCCCACCTCGCCCCCTCGCCCCCCCCCCGGCCTCCCCCACCTTGCCACCTCGCCCCCCCGGCCTCCCCACCTCGCCCCCCCTCGCCCCCCCGGCCTCCCCACCTCGCCCCCCCAGCCTCCGCCTGGGCCCCGGCGGGCGGCCGCGGCCCGAGCCTGGCTCATGTTCCTGCCCGACCCGCAGCACAAGGACATCTGTGCCTTCCCCTCCATGGAGTTCTACGAGCACAGGCTGAAGACCTGGGAGGGCCTGCAGCGGCCGCCCAGCGTCCTGGGCCACGTGGACAGGGAGAGCTGCCCCGTCATCTTTGGCCACGTGCAGGGCCACGAGCAGAGCCTGCTGGTGTCCACGGATGAGGGGAACGAGAACTCCAAGGCCAACCTGGACGAGGTGGCGGAGGTGGTGAGTGCCCGGCGGCGGTGCCCCTTGGTCCTGGACGCGGTGGCCGAGCAGCTGAGGGAGCCAGTGGCCCCCATCGGGTGAGGGAGGCCCCGGGGCCCATCTCACCGGCCCCCCCCCCCGCCCCTCAGGTCCGCATCGCCAAACAGCTGACCCTGGACAAGACGGTGGACCCCAAGGACATCGCCATCCTCACGCCCTACAACGCCCAGGCCGCGGAGATCAGCAAGTGCCTGATGCAGAGGGGCGTCTCGGGGCTGACCGTGTGCTCCATCACCAAGAGCCAGGGTGAGGCTGCGGGCCGGGCAGGGCGGGGCTCCCACCGGGCTGGGAGGCGGGGCCTCACCACGCCGCCCCCCCCCCCCGCCCCTTCGCGCCCCCAGGGAGCGAGTGGCGCTACGTGCTGGTGAGCACTGTCCGCACCTGCCCCGAGAGCGACCTGGACCTGCGGCCCACGAAGAGCTGGCTGAAGCGCTTCCTGGGCTTCGTGGTGGACCCCAACCAGGTGAACGTGGCCATCACCCGGGCCCAGGAGGGGCTCTGCATCGTCGGTGAGTGCTGGCGTGGGGGGGGGGTCGGGGGGGGCTGCCGCCGGCTGGCACTGCAGGGTAGCGCTGACCGCCCCCTCCCGCAGGCGACCACCTCCTCCTGCGGTGCTGTCCCCTGTGGCGCCGGCTGGTGGACTTCTGCGAGGCCCAGGGCTGCCTGGTGCCCGTCGGCCAGGTCCGGGTCCGCCGGAGGTCGGCCGTGTCTGCCTGAGGGGCCCGCCTCTGCTGCCCAGCACCCTCCAGCCTCGGGACAGCTGGGACTGCCCCCCCCACCCGCTCCCTCGGCCCCGCTCGGCGGGACCCCTCGTGCCTTCCGTGGTCACTGCTGGCCCCCCACGCCCGCTGGGGCCATGCACAGTGACTACCTTCTGGGGTCATGGCTGTCCCCGGTGGGCAGCGTGAACTTGGGAGGAAGAGGGAGGGTCCATCCCCACCCTTCCTGCTGACCTGCGTTCACTGCCACCGTGGGGACTGGGGCCATCTCAGGGGTGGGCTGTGTCGCTGGGGGGTTTGGGGTCAGCAAGGAGCCCCCAGCTCTCTAGTCTATGTTGCCATTCAACCGCCCCCACTGGGTGCCAGCCATGGGACTCAGCTTTATTTTCTCTTTTTAAAGAAACCGGCCCTGGCTGGTGTGGCTCAGTGGATTAAGCGCGGGCCTGAGAATGGAGGGGTTGCTGGTTCGATTCCCAGTCCGGACACGTGCCTGGGTTGCAGGCCAGATCCCCAGTAGGGGGCGCACGAGAGGCAACCACACATTGACGTTTCTCTCCCTCTCTTTCTCCCTGCCTTCCCTTCTCTCTAAACGTGAATAAGTAGAATCTAAGAAAGAAAGAAAGAAAGAAACCAAACCCAGTTTCTGTTCTGCGGGGACAGAGTCCTCGGCCCACAGGCAGGGGCTCACTCGGACCCACTGCTCTGGGCCCCCCTGGCCCCCTACCTCGACCCGCGGGGTCCCTGGGTCTCAGTGCAATTTTCCGCTGCCCCCGCGGGCTGGGGGACGCCGCGGACTGCTGTTTGCTCCCGGGCAGCCCGGCCCCTTGCCACGGGCAGGGGGCAGGGGCGGGTGTGTTTGTGTGCTTGTGTGTCTGATGCTGAAGTTTTGTACAAATCAAATCTCTACATTCCGATTTTGTATCTCACGTGATTGTACATTAATTTTATTATAAAGGCTCTCTGCTTTGGCACCTCTGGGTGTCTTCGTGTCTGTCCGGGGCAGCGGGAGGGGCCCTTCCTCTTGCTCTGGGCTGCCCAGTGGCTGCGGGCGCCGCGAGGCCGCCGCTGAGGCCACGGCCCCCGGCTGAGGGCCGACGGCCTGGGCGCAGGAGGCTGCGAGGCCTCCCTGGTGGGAGCAGAGGCCACCACCGCGGGCCCTGGCCAGGTGCGCGGGCCGGTCCAGCACTCTGAACCCTGGCCTTAGGCGGGTCTGGACCCGAAGTCCAAGTCCGAAGTCCCCGGGGCTGCCAGCAGGCCCTTTGCCGACGACCCTCTGGCACCACACGTGCCGACCTGGGCTGCTCACATGTGTGCGGCTGAGCCCCCGGCGCCCCCGCTCCGCCCCGGGCCCGGCCGCGCAGGGGAAGGTGTGGCTGCAGGGCGGTCACAGAGAGACAGACCTCACAGGGAAAGGGGTCCCCAGCCTCTGGGTCCTGCGTGTTCACTGAGGCCTCGAGGGAGCCGGCCCCCCCCCCCCCCGCCCGAGGGCTGTGCTGCCACAGCCTCGGCGCCGCCAGGCGGGGAGCTGGGCCCCAGCAGCCCGGTGCCGGGGAGGGCTGCCCAGAGGGAGGGGGCTGCAGGGAGGCCTGGCTGGACTTGGGTGTGCGGGGGCAGGAGGACAGCTCAGTGCAGAGGACGGCCCGGAGCAGCAGGGCAGCTGGGGCCAGCGGGGTACAGACCGGCCTGCCGGCCTTGACAGCTGTGCCCAGAGGGCACCGGGGCAGCTGCTGGCAGAACAGGATCTGCGGCCTCTGGGCGGCCGCCAGTCTGGGTGAGGGCGGGAGACCCGGCCACCCGCTGCAGGTGCCGGGACCAGGAAGCCCCCGCTGGGGCGCCCGCATGCACCCCCAGGGCGAACCCCACGGCAGCAGCCCCCCTCTCGGACTGCTGTGCCCCCCAGCCCTGTGTCTGAGGGGCAGGAGCCAGGCAGGACGTCCAGGACAGGGCCCTGTAGCCACACGGGGCCATGGCGGCACATCCAGTGCAGGGACGGCCAGGGGCTGTGTGGGCTGGGGGACCCCGGCTGGCCGAGTCCCCACCAGTCCCAGAGGGCCCTGTCCACAGCCGGGGGGAGGGTGGTGGGGCCTTTCCGGCAGAGCCGGGCACCCCTCCCCCAAGCCACTGCTCTGTCCGTGGGGGAGGGGCTCCCTGTTTCTGACCGCCCGTCCCAGGCCCCCCGGTTCTCGGAGGTCCCGCTGTGCCCCTCAGCCTCAGCCGGGGCACGCAGTGCGGCCCCCCGGGGCTGGGCGTGACCACCCTCATCCGGAGGTGAGCGTGTGCCCCGGGAGGGGGGCTGCCGGCCGCCCTGGGGTCACATGACCACACCGCAGGGCGAGGGCGAACTATCAGGGCAGCATCCAGGGGCCGCCGCCCACACGGGCTGGACACCAGGAGTTGTGGGGAGGGGCCCTGGGCTGCAGGGAGGGCCACCCCCAAACCTCCAAAAGGAGCTCCAGGCCTGTGTCCCTGGGCCGCCTCCTTGCCTGGGACCCCCACCCACCTCAGGATGGGGGTGCTGATGAACTTCAGCTTCATTTGGAGGAAAAATAAGACTTTTATTGCCATTTTAGAAAGAAAACGTCTAGCCCCGGCTGGTGTGGCTCAGCAGACTGAGCGTCGGCCTGCGAACCAAAGGGTCGCTGGTTCAATTCCCAGTCGGGGCACAAGCTTGGGTTGTGGGCCAGGTCCCCAGTAGGGGGCATGCGAGAGGCAACAACACATGGATGTTTCTCTCCCTCTAGTAAATAAATAATATCTTTAAAAGAAAAAAAAATGTCCTTTGGGCCTCAGGCACCCTGACCCCGGTGAAGCTGGGGTGGAGAGTGCTGGGCCCGCCGGCCGGCCTGTGGGGTCTGAGCAGGCAGGCCCTGGGGCTGGGGCCCCCCTGGGGGACCCCTTGCTGAGGCCCCAGAGCTGGTTATGGCGACAGGGAGAGAGGTGGAAGGGCAGAGACCCTGGGAGCTGCTGTCCTCGCTGGCGGTGGCACCCGGATGCCAGGGCTGATGCTTCTCGCTCCAGGGGTGCGTGTCCCGGAAGACCCGGCCTGGGCACCCCCAGCGCAGCTGCGGGGCCTGGGCGGGCGGGCCGGGCGGGGGGACACGCACCTGTGGCCGTGGCCGCCCCTGGGACGTTAAGTAGATTTGCTTCTTCGACTGCGAGTGTGTTTCTACTCCTCTTTATTCGCGGCTAAAGACTAAAAATCATCTCTCGGGAGCTGTGGTCAGGGGCGGCCCGGCCTGCCCAGCCGACCGGGGACGGGCCCGTCGGGCGTCCGAGGCCTGGTCTGCAGGGTGAGGCTGTCCTGCCAGGGCTCGTACACCAGCGTGTAGCTCTCGGCCCTCTTGACCGTGAACTTGTAGACGCGGCCGGGCAGCAGGCTGTGGACCTCGAAGCTGCAGGCGGCCACCGGGACGAGCCCCCGCTGCAGGTGCTCCTGCGGCGTCCGCGGGTCCAGCAGCTTGAAGCGCAGCTCGAACGGTTCCGGCGCCGCCGGCTGCACGGTGACGAACCAGCGCAGCGCCACCCAGTCCCGGTGGGCCACCGACTCCTTGCGGTCGAACATGACGGGCATCTTGGTGCTGAGCACGAGCCGGATGTGCGGGACCTTGGTGGCGCCGACGTCGGACACCAGGCGGTGCCTGATGTACAGCCGCCCCGGCACCGTCAGGGCCAGGAAGCTGTCCATGGCGGCTGACAGGTCCGCCCGCCGGCGCTCCACCAGCGCCCAGCCCGCCAGGAAGGGCCGCGGGTCCGGCGACTCCAGCAGGGCGTCCAGCTCGGCGCGGCCCCGGTCCAGCTGCTCCAGCAGGTCCCCGAGCAGCAGCAGCTGGATCTTGGTCTGCGCGGTGCCCACCTTCTTCATGCGCTGGAACTTCCAGGGGTCGATGAGCTGGAAGACGGTGCTGGGCAGCACCAGCGGGTTCTGGTCGCCCAGGGCCAGGTGCTTGGGCAGGATCTCCACGTGGTAGGAGCACTTGCGCAGCAGCTCCATGCGGGCGTGGTGGCGCTTCAGCAGCTGGGCGCTCAGGTCGCAGGTCAGGAACTCCCGCAGGGCGTTGCGGCGCGCCGTGTAGGTCCTCCAGGCCTCCGGCTCCAGCAGCTGCCCGTCCTCGGCCTCCTCCGCCTCCTCCGGGTCCAGGAAGGGCTGCAGGCAGCTCGGCGGCGCCTTGTCCGGGCCCGCCACCTGGAAGGCCATCGTCTGCAGGGAGGGCGGAGGGCGGGGCGTGAGAGGGCACGGTCGGGCTGGCCTCTGCTGCCCGCCGCCCCCCACCCCGGGCTCCCTGGGGGCGGCGTCTGTGTGTGCGGTGGCTTCAGTCCCCTTGGGCCCAGGTCCTTCCCGGGGGGCCTCATGGGGGGCACCTCTCGGGGCAGGCAGGCTGCAGAGTCTGTGAAAGCAGGCATTCGGGGCAGAGACTGCTGACGGTCAGTACGGAGACCCAGGGCTGAGACCAGGGCTGGTCAGCGTCCTGGGGCCAGGACGACTTGGCCAGAAACCCCAGCCGCTGACCAGCTGTGTGGTCTGGGAAAGGCCTCAGGTCCTCGTCGGACGTGGGGGGAGCTGTGCCTCAGTGCGACCCCGCCCGAGCAGCCCCCGGGGTCCCCGTGGGGTCACTACTGCCCCCCAGGCCCCCCACACCTCACCGCCAGCACGGAGCCGAGGGCCGGGCTCACCCTAAGCCGGTCCAGCTGGAGACCAGGCCCACCCGGGAGGCAGGCAGCCCCGGGTCTCAGCCCCGAGGAAGAGCTGTGCCACCCCCCTTTCAGAGCCCTGCTTCGGCCTGGAGCTCCCCGACGCCAGGGGAGCGCCCCAGGCTTCTTACAGACGGGGAGCCAGAGGCTCCAACACTTTGCAGCTCGTCCTCTGTCCTGGGTTTGAGGCCGGCCGGCCGCAGACCCCAGAGTCTAACCTCCTTCTGGGCCACGACCCACCCCCAGGCTCCCAGTTCTGGGCGTCAGCACCCCCCACCGCCAGGTGCAGCTGGGGGCCCAGGCCCCGCTGGGCAGGCTACAGGGCCACGAGGACTGTCCCTGCAAGCTGAGGCTCCTTGAAGAAGGCGTCAGCCTCCCTGGCTGCTGTCCCCAGAGTCCCACGGCTTCTCCTGGGAAAGCCTGGGGTGTCCCAGCAGCCCAAGGGTGGACGAGTCACAGGAGGACCCCAGGGGAGGGTGGCGAGCTTCAGAAAACACCGCCAAGTAGCAGGGTAACGTCGAGGCCGCTGCCTCCCTCCCCAGAGGTCAGTCTTTGACCGCCCTGGAGCTGATGGGCCAGACCAGGCCCCGGCACAGCAGAGAAGGTGTCCGGGGGGAGCTACCAGCCCAGACCAGGACCCCAGGACGTATAGCCCTAAGGCCTGCTCTGGCCCCTGGAGGCAGCTCTCGCCCCTGGGTCAGGGGTGTCTCCAGTCGCGACAGTCTCCCAGGCAGACGGCTCGCAGGGAGCTCCTAGGCCGGGTTGCCAGGAGCCCTGAGGCCCGCCGACCCAGAGGCCCCGCCTTCTGCGCGCGCTGCGCGCTCCGCAGGCCCAGCCCCCTCCAGACCTACCCCCACCTACGCCCCCTTCCCGCCCCGGCCCTCACCTAGCCACTGCGCGCGTCCTCTCGCCCTGCCGCCCCAAATGCGCGGCGCTCTGCGGCTCCACTGCGCAGAGTGGGGGCGCCCGGCGTCGCGCCGAGGCGTCCAGCGTGTTGCCATGGGGATCGAGGGCCTTTATGACGTCCTGCGGGGTCCTGGATTGGGGGCGGATGGCGGGGGGCGGCGGAGGCTCCGGGCTTGGCGGCGGGCGACCCTGCGCCGTCGGGTCTTTGAGGGGCTGCGGGAAGACGGCGCGGGGCGTGCTACGTGCTCCCAGGGCCGCGACCGGAGGAACCGCCAGATTGAGCCAGGCCTCGGTCCCCGACCCTGCGCTGGGTCCCGGCTCCGAGGAGTTGTCCCCCGGCGTCGCTTTCATCATCCCGCCGACCTGGGAGCCACCCACCGCCAGTGGCCCTAAGGCCGGGCGCTCAGGAGGGTCCGCGCGAGGGACAAACTGAGCGCGCGCCGGCCCTGGGTCATCTTGCGGGCGCAGCGCTGCCTTGAGGGGGCTTCTGGGCGGTGGTGGCAGCCTGTCGGGAATTTGGAGGGGTGCCCCTGCTCTGCCCGTGGCCAAGAGGCCCTGGGAACCCCTCGGGGCAGCTGCCCAGAGGCAGGGACCATGGGAGCTGGCAGGGGGGTGGCACATGTCGCCCCAGTGAACAGACCACAGGCTTTTTCTCCCACGCGGGTGCCTTTCCCACGGGGCTGGACCAAGCCCCAGGCAGCCCCCCCCCCTTGGAGGTGTGCTTGGCAGCCTGGGTGTCCCCTGGCAGTGGCCAGTCTGACACCCCAAGGAGCCCCTTGCCCGCCGTAGGGAGGAGGACAGAGGAGGCAGGGACACGTCATGCCGTCTTTGCCCCCTGCCCTTCAGAGGTCAGAGGTGGGGCCCCTGTCCCTGAGTTCCCTCCCAGTCCGCTGTGGCCAGAGCCCCCCCCCCCGCACCCCCACCCCTCTGGGCGGCCCCTCCTGGCCTTGCCCTGGGCTCTTCATGCACTAGTGAGGTCTGTGGTTATTGGAGGGTCTGAGGGGAAGGGCTGGACTGTTTGGAGGGGGTGCCGTCTGAAGGTGGAAGGGTGGGGAAGGCCCCCCCCAGCCCTGCAGCCCGCCGGCAGAGAGGGGGTGGGCGCACAGCAGCGCCCCCTCCTGGGCCAGGTGCATCCTGGGCCTCTGCCATCGCTCTGGCCCCGCCCCCTTTTTATTTCTTATTCTACAGCTAGTTTTTTTACCATTAAACTGTTATTTTTAAATTTTATTTCTTTTAGATTTTATTGATTCATTTTTAGAGAGAGGGGAGGGGGGAGAGAAAGAGAGGGAGAGAAACATCCGCGTCAGAGCACCTCTCCTGCACCCCCTACTGGGGACCCTGGGCGCAGCCCTGGCCTGGGCCCGACGGGGAATGGAACTGGACCCGAAGGCGCGGCAGGCGGGCGCTCAGCCCACCGAGCTACACCAGGCGGGCTACAGTTCAGCGTCTGGTGTGAGGTCACTGCAGGTCACACCCAGTCGTTACAGGGGCCCCGGGAGCCCTTTGCCGGCGTCTTGCCGAAACTCCGTGTAAGACAGCCGGGCGGTGAGGCTGACCACCCGGGCAGGACGCCCGGCCTCACGGGGACCCCACGGCCTCGGCCCACCTTGCCCACTCCCGCCACCCCCTGCCCCCTGAGCCCCTGGCAACCGCCGGGCCCAGGACCTGTCTCCTCGGAGAGCCGTGCGTACCTGATGCCCTCCCGTCCCGCGGGCCGTGTGCGGCCCCGGTCGCCCGTCCTCTCAGAGTCACCGCCCGGTCTGCTTCTGCCCCCAGCCACCAGGCTGTGCTGCCCTTGGCAGAGCAACCCTGGGCCCCGGGGAAGGGCGGTCACAGCCCTGGTGGGGGGGGGGCACGCACCTGAGCACAGAGGCCCGTGGGGGGCACTCAGCCAGAGTGCGGGGGCCCCTGGCAGCCGTGTCCCTGCCGGGGGCTGTGAGCGCGGTGGCCTGGCAGGCGGGGACACCGAGGCAGAGAGGTCCACACTTCGCTCACGGCTCGTGAGCCCGCGAGCAGGGCCGGAACGCTGTCGCCTGGGCACACACAGAGCTGGGGGGCCCTGCCTTCCTCGACCCCCGCAACCCCCCCCCCGCCCACGCTGTCTGCAGGCAGGGTGGAGGGCAGAGTGGGGGAGGCCCTGCCCAGGGAGGAGGGAGCCTGAGGGGGGCGTGGCTGCACCCCAGCGCTCCCTGCAGAGCCCTCTGCCCCCACAGACGAGGAGGTGTCTGCCTCTCTCTGCCCTCACCACCTGCAGACAGGCACCAGCTGGCGTTCTTTTTGAATGGGGGGGGGGGGTTGGTTCCTGCTGCCCGACACAGTGACCTTGAGGAGGGGTGGGCAGGACCTGGTTTGCCCACCTGCAGGAGGAGGAAGACCTCAGCCCACCAAGGGGGTCTCTGTCCGGGCTTTTCTGGGGGGCTGACAGCGACCTGGGGCCGGTGTGGGGGTGAGGCCACAGGAAGCAAGGGAGCCCCCCACCCCCCCCTGCCCTGACGGCTGCCGGGAATGTGCTGAGGCCCAGCCCGTGGCTCTGGGGGATGGGCAGTCTGCGGGAGGAATGCGCCGGCCGGCGTTCTGAGTGCTTGACCCCAAGCAGCCCGAGCAGCCCATAGCCTGCAGAGGCCCCTGGCGCCCGGTGGGCCGGGGGCGTGTCTTCCCAGGAGGAGGAGCCTTGCATCCGCTGGAGGGAGACCTGCCTGCTGCAACCCAGGCTCGCGGCGCTGGGGGAGCAGGTGGTGGACGGGGCCGAGGGCCCTTCCAGACCCCCGGTTCTGTGTTCGTAAATATCGCCCTAACAACAGCCCCCCCAGCAGGATGGGTCTCAGTGGCCGGCCCCTGGGGCCCCTCGCCCACCCCCATTCGCCATGTGGCTGCCTCGCCAGTTTGCAGACTGCACCGGTGCTCCCCAGGGGTGTGGCAGGGGCCCCGAAGGCGCAGCGTGGAGGAGAGAACCTGCTGCCTCTCTGGGGCCCGTGGGGGCAGGCTCACGCCTGCGCGTGGGGCCCGCTCTGCACAGGACGCGAACGTCGGGGGGTCGACTGGGTTCTGGGGGGAAGGAAGGGGCGATTCGGCCTCAGGAACGACCCCGGGTGCCCGAGCGGCTGGGCTGGGGGAGACAGGCTGGGGCAGAAGGAGCAGGCTACCTGCCTGCCTGGGGCCTCGCCACCCGCAGACCCCGCCCCAGGGCCCCCTTCTGGGGCCTGGCTGCCTGGGGTGTGCTCCCCGCACCCCACCCAGAAGCACAGGGAGGCCTGGGCAGGTGGCAGTTTGCTTCAGGGAGTGAAGGGTCTAGCCTTCACCGGGCCCACCGCCCAGCCCTTGCATGCTGCTGGCCCTGGGTTCATATCGCGGGCTGGGCAGCAATGCCTCTCCCACCTGGACCTGGGGGAGGGGTGGCCACCCGCCAGGCCCTGAGGCCCCGCTCCTAGGCTGGCTTTGGGAGCCCCCCGCCCCCGGCCCCGGCCCGAGCCCCAGGTGGCCAGTGCACTGAGGACCAAGTCCTTCCTGCCCACAGACGCCCCAGAGGCCGAGGAGGGGAGTGGCCGTCCATCGTGTGCCCCGGGGGCTAGAGGGCCAGCCTGCCCCCAAGCCCGGTCTGAACAGCAGCCCACGGCCACGCGGGGGCCTGTGCGGGCAACCTGCCGGGACCCTCCGGGCAGGGCTCCCCCACTGGCTGTCCCACCAGCCCTTCCAGCTTCTCCCTCCCCTGCATGGCCCTGGGCCGCGTGGGCCCCCCCCAGAGCACGGAACCCTTTCTCGGGAGGCGGCTGGCCTTCCTGAGCTGCTTGTGGGACGACATCTGGCCGGCGGGCCGGCGCCCCGGACCACACTGCCCCTGCTCCCGGGACCCTGAGCCCCATGCTGAGCAGGAGCCCCCTCCCCCCGCCGCTGCCACACCCCGAGGCCCCCCGGCACCAGACCCGCTATTCCGGGTGCTGCTCAGGTGTGCCGACGAGCTGAGTGTCAGCCTCCGGGACGGGCTCTGCGCTCTGGAGGAGGAGGGCGGTGACATCTTTGCCGGAAGGCTCTCCGGCCGGCCCAGTGTGGGGCTTGTGCCCCTCCCTACGTGGCCAGGGTCCCCCCTGAGACGTGCTCAGACCAACTGTGAGTATGGCCTGCTCTGGAGGTCAGGGATAAGCGGACCGAAACCCAGGGTCCCTGTGCGTCCAGCTCGTCCTTGCCCTCCGTGGCCGGGCTGCCACCGTAGAGCTGGGGGCCCGCAGCCCGGGGCCCGGTCAGGCTCGGCGGCAGGTCAGCTGGCTGGTGTGGCGCCTGCCCCTGGCAGATCCCGCTGGGACTCTGTCCGGCTCTGTGGAACATTTCGGGGGCGCTCGTTGCACAGCTGGCTGAGCGGTCTGCACATGGAGGGCGGGGGGCGAGGGCCTGGGCTGTGGTTCAAGTGAGAGGGACAGAGCCCCAGTCCTGCTGGAGCTCCTGGCGAGGACAGGCGTGTGCAGAGGCGCCCTGAGATGTCCCCTGGGCTCTGAGGGGGTCGGGGGGGCTGGGGGGGCTGGGGGGGCTGGAGACTGGGGATGGCGGGCATTGCGGCTGGGCCAGGCCCAGGGCCGTCCCTGCAGACGCCCTGGGTTTTGGCCTCACTCGGGCCTCCTCCTGCCGCCTGGGGGATTTGCAGATTTGGGGGACACCTGAGCCACAGGAAGGTGCCTTCAGGCCCCCACCCCACTCCTGGGACCAAGCAGCCACTCCGCTGCCCTGCCGGGGACAAAGCCTGGGCCTCCAGAGGAGGCCAGAGGGGCTGTGGGGGGGGGTGCCAGAGAGGAAGAGCTCACGACCGACCGTTTGCTGGGCTGGAGATGGAAGGCCTGACTGAGCGCACTCACCGGGTCATCAGTCCCAGACGCCTGTCCCTGTGCCGGACCCCACGGCAAAGCCTCCGGCTCCCAGGCTGCTGAGGCCCCCCCCTAGAGTCCTGTCTTGCCCAGGGCCACACCCCAGGGAGTGCTGGGGTCTCAGCTGCCGCCCAGGCCCTGCTGTCCTGCGGGGGAGGCCTGCTCTAGCCTCTTCACACCGGCGGGGGGCGGGGTGTTCTCCCCACTGTCCACCGGCGAGCTGGTGGCCCCAGAAGGCAGGGCCCTGCAGAGGCCTCTGCCGTCATGGGTGGGGGGGCCCGGCAGCCTCAGGGCTGCACCTCAGCTCCCCACTCGCCGTGCCCCTGAGCTTGCCGCCCACCAGGTGCCCCCTCTGGGAGCCCCTGTCGGTCCACGGCCCTGGACCTTCCCGTCCGCCGAGTCTGTCCCCCAGTGCTTCCCGGGCGCCTGCCTCTCCACCCTCCGGCTCCCCTCCTCTCTGCCTCCGACCGCCCCTCCCTCCCACCCCGCAGTCCGGCCCCGCAGCTCCGGACACGCTGGTTCTCAGCCGCCTCCCAGGGTGGGCGCAGGTCTGTCCGCGCCCCCGCCAGGGCCTGCCCTGGGCCCGGCTCCTGCAGCACCCACTTGCACAGCTACGCTCACCCGGGCCCCTCTGGTCGGGCCCCCCCACCTCGTGCTGACTCACTTCAAACCGCGTTCAGCCGCCCAGCCCAGGCGACCTGAGAGCCAGTCCCTGTGCTGCCCCCAGGGTGGAGGGGGCTCTCAGGGCTGTCCCTTGGCACCTGCGGCCCCCTCGGGCACCTCCTGCCACTGGGCCAGGTATGGGGAGGCTCCCGGGAGGGGCGCTAACTCAGGTGTGAGGTTCCCCCACCTGCACCTGGGGAAACAGACACAGGTGACGGGGCGGGGCCAGTAGCCACTCCTCCCAGGACTCCGGTGGAGTGCCGACCCAAACAGGGCATCCAGTGTGGGGGGAGTCCCAGGCATGCCCCGCCCCGCGCTGTCCCACAGAGGGGCCTGGCTGTGGTGGGTTTGGCAGGCCCGGCCTGTGGCTAGGTTATTTGTTGGCCTGTGGGTAGGGCAGGTGGTCGCATTATGGGCTGGTGGCTCCATGCCGGTGTGAGCGGTTCTCTTGTCCCCAGTGACTGCAGAAGCCAAGCCCTGGCGGGGGGGTGGGCACAGAGTGGGCACAGGTGGCCTCTGACCAGTGTGGGCCAGGGGCCCCCGGGGCTGGGCCTGCTTGGTGACCGCCACGCCTGCCCTCCACAGCTGGTACTCCAGCGGCCTCAGCTGCACCCAGGCCCAGCAGCTGCTTCCTGTCCCCGGCAAACACTCAGGGCACCTTCCTCATCCGGCCCAGCAAGAGCAGCCAGGGCGGCTACTCGCTGTCAGGCACCAGGGCCCCGTCCACCTGGGGCCGGTGGGGCTGGGAGCCCACCCGTGGCGAACCCTCCTTGCTGCCTGGGGCCCTGGGTCTGCCCTCGGAGAGTCCTGGGTGGGAGAGGGAGTCTGTGGGGGAAGATGCTGGTCGCGAGGATGCACATGGGACCCACAGCTGGGCTGGGCCTGAGGTTCTCTGCCTCCGTCCCGGAGTGGCTGCCCTGCCCCAGGGCCGGGCCGTGACCTGGTTCCCCTGGTGCCATCACGGCAGCTGACCCGGGCAGCAGTGAGTGTTGGTGGGGGATGTCGCCTCCAGCTCGGGGCTGGGAGCAGGTGGGGCCGTCCGGGGAGGTCAGCCCCTGGCACCCCTCGCTCCAGCCAGAGTCAGCCCTGAGCATGCACTGGGGCGGGCGCAGGGGTGGGGGCCTCGTCCCCGGAGAAGTTGCCCCTCTACCTGGGGCGCAGCAGAAGCCCCCCAAGCAGGACGAGTGGGAGCAGCCGCGCTCCGAGTCCGCCCTGCACAGGAAGCTGGGCGGAGGCCACTTCGGGGGGGGAGGTGTGGGGAGGCCTGTGGCCGTCAAGGTCATCAAGTCCAGGGGGTGAGCCCCCACCTCCCTGCCCCGTCTTCCCCACACCGGAGCCCCGGGGGGAGGGGCAGCCACAGGCGGTGTGGGTGGGTCCCTGAGCCGCACCGTCTCCCGCGGGTGACGTGAGGATCCCTGACCTTGCAGCGGAGCTCTGGACGCTCAAGAGCCCGCGGCACGCGAGGTGCATCCTGCTGCACGCGTGTGCTCTGCCCGGAGCCTGTGCACGCCGGCACCGAGCTCCCGCGCCAGGGCAACCCCGAGGGCCTTCCTGGGCGGTGAGTGCGTCCCGCCACCGTCACCTGGCCTGGGGACAGGTGCAGGGACAGGGGCACCTGCCCCTCTGGCAAGGGCCTTCCTCGGGCTCCAGCCTTGTGTTGGGTTTTCCTCTGGCCCTGAGGGCGCTGGGCTCTGACCCAACAGCAGGTCTGGGGCCCTGGCCGGGGCCAGGCCTGGGCTTCGTGGAGGGGCCGTCAGAGCACTGGGTCTCAAGCTGGTGGAGGGCAGGTGGGGGTGGCCCCTGGGCAAGGTCAGTGTGGACCCCGCCCCGCCCGGGCGCTCCTCTTCTGTCTCTTAAGGCCTCATGGGCTGGCACGCACACACGTGTGCCCACAGGCTGATGCACGCAGACACCCACTCGGAGAGGAGAGGAGAGGCTGGCGTCCTCGGCCCAGTGTGGCCGTGTCCCCAGCAGGGGGCAGCACTCGGTGGGAAGATGGGGTGGAGCCCGAGTCTGCTCCCGCCTCGGGGAGACTGGGCAGGGGCACCCTGAGCCCACAGGGGTCCCTCTGGCCTGGGTCCTCGGACCTGGGCCCACACTGGGGCGTGGCCACCACCTCCCAGGAGCACACCGCTGCCTGCGTGCAGACCCCGTGGGTGCAGGGAGGCAATGCTCAATAGAACACGCGTGGACTCAGGCACGCACAGACATGCATCACGCACAGGCCTCAGCCCCCGACGGGAGCAGGAGCTGCAGCTGACGGGCGGCCCCCCCACAGGGCGTCTTGGTGTCCAGAACAGGGGACCCAGAGGCAGAGAACCCCCCGCGGGAGCTGCGTGAACGGCCCTGGGCTGAGGTGGAAGGGGGAGCTGGGTCCGACCAGGGGAGGGTCAGGCGGGGGCCGGGGGCCCGTTGGGGGCGAGTGGCTCTCGTGGTCGGGGAGTCCGCGGCAGCTGCGCCTCGGTGGTCCGGGGCCTGGGTGCCGGCCTGGCTGTGTAGGCAGGCTGGTGGAGGGCGGGTGGTGTGGGGGGCGGGCCCCTGGGCGACAAGCTCTCTGGGGAGACAGAAGCACCGTGTCCCGAGTGTGCGCCCAGAGCATCGATTTCAAGCCACAGTGGGTGTCGCCGAGTGAGGAGGTGGGCGCTGGGCGCCGTGGGGTCACCACAGATGGACAGTGGAGGCACAGGGGGACCAGGTGGGTGGGGTCTGACTTCTGGCCCCTGACCCCCGCCCTCCTGGGAGCCACACTGGTAGCTGTGGCCCAGAGGCTTGTGCAGTCCGAAGGGACAGAGGCAGGCAAGGCCGCCCTCTGGTGCACCACTGGTCACAGGGCCTTCGAGGGCCGATGAGTGACCGCTCCCACAGAGGCTGCTCGGGGTGGCGTGGGGCGGGCGGGACAGCCGGCAGGGTCGAGGTAGGAAGGTCTGGCTGAGGGATGGGGGGGCCTCGTGCAGCCCCAGCCTGGGTGGAGGGTGGGGGCAGGGAGGTGTGGTCTGAGTTTCTCGGGGCCCCAGGCTGCAGCTGCTGACCCCTCCATGCTGTGCTGGGCCCCGGGGCTGGCTGGGGCGTGTGGGCCCCAGACGGTGAGGGCCGGAGCTGAGCTCCTCCGCTCCGGGGGGCCGAGGGGCCCCTCTGGGCAGGGGCTCCGGCTGCCAGGAGCAACTCAGCCTCTTTGCTCGGAGCGGCTGTGGACGTGGGTGGGCCGGGCAGGCAGCCTCGGAGGGAAGGCCGGGCGCGGTGACCGCCCGGGAGGCAGGTGTGCGTGGGGGTCCTCTCGGGCGTCTCACCAGCCACACGCTGGACCGGTTGGCGCTCTGGAGCCTCTGGGCGGAGCCGCGACACGCAGCCCGAAACTCCCGCTTCCTGGTGTGACTCAGGCAGAATCCCGGCACATCTGTGCCCAGTGCCTCTCAGGGCCCCTGGGTGTGGGCGCGCCGGCCGGGCCCAGGGCTGAGGGGACAGCTGGAGTCGGTGAGCAGATAGAGGGCGGGGCCCAGGGCCAGCCCAGCGGCCCCACCTCCTCGGAGCCCGGCCGCACCGCAGACCCTGCTGCCCCCTCCCCCCATGCCTGGGTCAGGCCTGAGTGGGGCCCCCCGCCAGGCACGGCAGCACGTCTGGGGCCTTGTCAAACAGGACACGCTCCGGGGGGGGCAGGGGCGGGGGGGGGCAGCGGGGCCGTCACCGTCTTCCCGACCGACGCCTCCCACAGGGAGGGTCGCAGTGCTCCGTCCTCGCTGCCCCGCTGCCGGGCGCAGGGTCTCTGGCTGCCCCTCCGACGGGGCGCAGCTCCGGCCGGGCCCGCAGGCTGACCCCACACCCACGGCCCCGCCCGGCTCCGTCCCGGGCTGCCCGCCGCGGCCACTGCGGCTCTGGCCACGGTCAGGGAGTGTGCATGCGGGCGCCGTGACGTGAGGGTGGCGTGAGGGTGGCGTGAGGCTGCAGGAGGCGCATCGGGGGGCGCGGGGGGAGAGGCGGCTCCAGCAGCCACCTGCTCCGGGCCCACCGTCCGTCTGTCCCGAGTGGTCCAGGGGCCCTGGAGGAGTGGGCAGGGGCGGCTTGTCCTCGACTCCGCCTCACAATCCGAGAGTCACCCCTGAGGTTCCCGTCCCGCCACAGCGGACCCCAGCAGGGCCCCCCCCCACCCCCGGTCCCTCCCTCAGGGCTCAGGTGGCACCCCGGGGTCACTTGACGGGCACAGTTCCCACAGCGGGTGGGCGAGAGCAGCGCCCAGACTGACCGGCCCAGGGAGGGGTTGGGTGGAGCAGGTGAGAGCTGGGGCTGACAGCCCACGGTGCTCGGAGAGCCGCCTGCCACCCTGTCACGCCCGTCCCAGGAAGTCACTGGATGCGGGCGGGGTGGGGGGAGGGGAGGATGACCTGTCGGAGTCGGCCCCGCCCACCCACCACTCCCAGCCTGGTGTTTGTGGCAGCCCAGTGACAGGCAGGAGGCCAGGGCGCCCGGTCCTGCCACTTCAGTGGCCATGGTGTCCAGGGACCAGGCTCCCCGGGGCCCCAGGTACGTGGGCCTCTGGGACTTCGAGGCCCGGACAGATGAGGAGCTAAGCTTCCGGGCAGGGGACCTGTTCCAGGTGGCCAGGAAGGAGGAGGAGTGGTGGTGGGCCACCCGGCTGGACGCGGAGGGCGGGGCCCTGGCCGAGGGTTACGTGCCCTACAACTACCTGGCTGAGGAGGAGACGGTGGAGTCAGAGCCGTGAGTGTCTGTGGGCCATCAAGCTGCCCCCCCCCGGCCCTGCAGCCCCCTGCTCACCCCCGCCCCCCGAGAGCTCAGGGCAGGTGGCTGTGGGACAGCGCTCCACAGCCCGTGGCCGGGCTCAGGGGTGGGGCAGGGTGTGGAGCTGGGCTCAAGGAGGGGGGTGGGGGCTCGGGGCTGGACCCCGCCGTCTTGGCCCCAGGAATGTGACTGTGCTTCTGACGGGTGACTTCTGGGGGCGGGGGCGGCAGAGGCGTGCGGCCCCTCCCCCGGGGCCCCCCATGGGCACCTCGTGGAGCCAGGACCCAGGGAGGACGGAAGAGGCTGAAGCGGGTGCGGGTGGCCGGCCGGCAGGGACGGGGTGGACGCGGGACCCAGGGCAGGGCCGGGGCTTTCAGGACCTGCCTTCCAACAGCTGGAACCAGACATGCGACCTAGTTGGGGAGGGAGGAAGGTCGCTGCGACACGCCCTCCTCGGGCGTGGGCTGCGGGCATCTGCTCCCTGGCCTGGCTGCGGGGCTTTGGGAGGCAGCGGCCACCCGGGGGGGCCGCCTGGGATGCAGGGACCCCCGGGGCAGCCTGGGGAGGGTGAATCGTGACCTTGAGCAGGTTCCTGGGAGGGGTGCTCCGCAGCAGGAGGAGCCCCGAGGCCCGTCTGTGCTCCCCGATCCCAGGGTCCCTCGCCATCGGCCCGCCTTGCCTGAGCTCACACTGCGTGGTGGGCAGCCCGTGGGCAGGCAGGGACGCAGGGTGGGCCCAGCTGGAGGAGACCCTCGGGCCCTGAGGGCAGCAGTGCGGAGGGAGGCAGCCTGGGCGGAGGGGGAGCAGGGAGCCCTCTGAGTGTGCAGGACGGGCCGCACTTCTGTGCTGGGCCCGACCGGGCTCCCACAGCGCGGGGAGGGAGGGTTGGGGAGCAGAGGGCAGAGCCACGGGCAGCAGGGGTCACCCGGGGAATTGTGGGTCCCACCCTGCCACCCGGAGTCCAGGCTCGCCCATTGCTGGCCGCTGGTGTGCTGGGATGGGCGAGTGTGCGGGTGCATGCAGACGCGTGTGAATGCATGTGTGTGCAGGCGTGTATGGGGATCGTGGGCACGTGTTTGCATGTGTGTGCACACGTGCGTGTGTGGACGTGAGTGTGTGCGCACTGTCACGGGCGCACAGCTGCTGCTCAGGACCCTGGTGCAAGGGCAGGTCTGTGGCCTGGGCCGCACAGGCGGTGCCAGCGTCCCAGATCAGCGTGGGCCGGTGGGCGGACGGCAGGTCCCCGGGCAGGGGCTCTGACCGCAGACAGGGCCCCCCACTGGGCGGGGTGGTGGGAGGTGCCTGCTCTCCGCTCTCTGGGGCACCGGGGCCTTTCCTGCTGTCCAGGACCAGCCCCTTGGGGCGCCTGGGGTCTGCGATGGGCAAAGGAGGCGCCTCGGGCCCAGGAGCAGCTGGGGCTCAGGCGGGCAAGGCAGGGGTCCGAGTGGAGTCCGTGTGGGCTCAGGACCTCCTCTCCTCCCCCGCCCCCCCACCCCCGGCCCTGCAGGTGGTTCTTCGGCCACATCTCCCGCTCAGAGGCCCTGCACCGGCTGCAGGCCGAGGGCAACGAGCCGGGGGCCTTCCTGGTCCGGGTCAGCGAGAAGCCGGGCGCCGACTACGTCCTCTCGGGTACGGCAGCCCCATCCTGGTGCCGTGGGGCCTCCGGGCTTGGTGTCCTTCTGCCCCTGGACCTCTCCCTGGGGCTGCGGAGGTCCGGCTCCTCCGGCCCGGCCCCCTGCGCCTGGCGGCGGTGCCGTCCAGGACACCGCAGCCCTTCTCTGGGGGTCTCAGAGACCCCGTGGCGGGCGGCTGTCCCCGTGGTTCTCCCCGGTCACTGCTGGGAGGCCCACCAGGCAGGACACGCGCACCCCCAGGCCTGAGCACTGCTCTGGGAGACCGGGTGGGGCGGTGCCGGGGGTCGCGTCTGCCCGCCCGCCCACTCACACGCCCCCCTCTGCCCGCGCCGCAGTGCGGGACCGGGAGACGGTGCGGCACTACAAGGTGTGGAGGCGCGCTGGCCGGCTGCACCTCAACGAGGCCGTGTCCTTCCCCAGCCTGGCGGAGCTCGTGGACCACCACCGGGCCCACAGCCTGTCGCACGGCCTGCGGCTGGCCCTGCCCTGCTGGAAGGTAGGCCTCCCCGCCCTCCTCCCTCCTGTGACCAGCCACGCAGGGCCACGCAGGGTGGGTGTGGGACTCGGGGGCCCCGCTGCCTGGAGGCTGAGGCCCCGCAGACCTGGGAGTGGCGGGTCAGGCAGAGGGGGGGTCCGCCCTTGGCCGGTCACTCTCACTTGTGGGCCAGCAAGCAGTCATGGCGCTCCTGCTGCGCCCAGTGCGGCTCTCGTGCACGAGGGCTGTGCGCCCCCGCCAGCAGCCGGACAGGAGTTTTGTCCGAGCGGCAGCTGGGCCCGTGTCGGGGCCCAGAGCGGGCAGTGAGGGCGGCGTGTTCGCAGACACAGCGGGGGCGGCCCCTGGGACCCCCCCAAGCCGGTGGAGGTCCTGCCTTGGAGGATTGGCTACGGACTCCCCCTGCTGGGCTCCGTGGGAACCCCCCAAGGACAGGCTGGGCCACGGGCTGTCCCCGCCTGTCCCCCCCAGCACGAGCCGGAGCCCCTGCCCCACTGTGCGGACTGGGAGCGGCCGCGGGAGGAGTTCACGCTCTGCAGGAAGCTGGGGTCTGGCTACTTTGGGGAGGTGTTCGAAGGGCTCTGGAAGGACCAGGTCCGAGTGGCCATTAAGGTGATAGCCCGAGGTGAGTGGCCCCAGGCCCAGCCACCCCGCCCCTGGCAGGGACCCCCGACCTCGCTCACGTGGGGGGCGGGGGTGGGCACGGGCTGCATGTGGCTCCCGAACAGTACAGGGGTGACGTTCTCCTGCCAGCTGAACACTTGTTTGTAAAAAAGGTTTTATTGTTAGAGAGGGGGAAGGGAGAAAGGGAGAGGAACATCACTGTGTGGTTGCCTCTCATGCGCCCCCTACTGGGGACCGGACCTGCACCCCAGGCATGTGCCCTGACTGGGGATTGAACCTGTGACAGAGAGCCGTCAAGCTCACTGGCCTGAGGGAAACAGAGGCTCATCTGCAGCCTCCTTGGGAGGCACCAGGGTTGGGGTCCCCCATTCGGGAACCAGGGGCCCAGGAGGCAGGGGGTGGGGCACACCTGGCTTGGGTGGGTGTCGGCCTGGTGTGGCGTGGTGAGGGCTCATGGAGTCACGGGGTGGGGGGCCGGGGGCCGGGGCACGGAGGGACGGGGCTGTGCTGGCCCCGGCAGCGGCCAGTCCCGGGAGGGCGGGGGGGCCGGGCTGCACCCGCTGAGGCCGCCCCCCGCCCCCGCCCCGCAGACGACCTGCGGCACCAGCACGCGTTCCAGTCGGAGGTGCAGGCCATGAAGAAGCTGCGGCACAAGCACATCCTGGCGCTGTACGCCGTGGCGTCCGTGGGGGACCCCGTGTACATCATCACGGAGCTCATGGCCAAGGGCAGCCTGCTGGAGCTCCTGCGGGGTGAGCAGGTGGCGGCAGGAAGGTTGCGGAAGGGCGGGGAAAAACCCACCCCTGCACAGGTCGGCCAGGGACCCCTCCAGCCTTGGCCAGGCTCGTGCAGTGGGGAAGGTGGCGTGCCCGTCGCGGGAGCCTGGGCAAGCGCAGACCAGGACACATGGGGGGGACAAGCCCTCCCGACCCCCACCCCCAAGGCCACCTGAGCCCTCTCGTCCCCGTAAGGAGCCCCGCCGTCTCCCTGACTGCCCGGCAGACAGGGCTGCCGACGGGCCGAGGGGCCCAGGGGCCCGCATGGCCCCGTGTCCGGGACGCTCTGATGGCCGAGGTGGGCTTCGTCGGACGAGCGCCCTCCAGCCTGCACTGCTGCCCCCGGGGGTCGACTCAGACCCACCCACGTTTGGGAGACGCTGAAGCAGCCCGGCTCTCGGGGGCAGGGGGTCACAGGCAGTGTCCCCGGTCACTGACCGTCCTTCAGACACGGGGCCTGTGGCCGTCGGCACACCCCGTGCACAGAGCTGGTGGCCCGGTGGACATGAGGCTCGTGTCGTCACTGTGATGGGCGTCTCTGCACCACACCCATTGGGTCCCGTCCCCTTCCCCGCCCCCTTCCTGCAGGGTCCCCGGCGGGGACACGTGCAGACCCGTACGGCCACGCGTGCGCGGGCTGACCCGGAACCGCCCCCCGGGCCCAGCCAGGCGCCCTGCCGGCCCGCTGACCCGCCCCGTTGCCCCGCAGAGTCCGAGGAGGCGGAGCTGCCCGTGCTGGAGCTGCTGGACATCGCCGAGCAGGTGGCCCAGGGCATGTGCTACCTGGAGTCGCAGAACTTCATCCACCGGGACCTGGCGGCCAGGAACATCCTCGTGGGGGAGAACAACGTGTGCAAAGTGGGCGACTTCGGGCTGGCCAGGCTCGTCCAGGTGCGGCCCCGGGGTCCCGGGGGGCGGGGACGGGCGGCAGGGAAGCCACCCAGCGTGGCGGTGGGCAGGCCGGGCTGACCGTGGCTCTACCCACTGCCCCGAGCTCGTCCAACACACGGTGGCCCCTCGGCTGTCGTTTGGGCGTCTGTGAACTCACGTGCGTGTCCGCAGGCCACCGTCCCACCGGGGCTCCCTCTGGGAGGAGCCGTGCTCGTCCTGGCCCCCAGTTCCCAGTGCCGCCGGCTGCCTGACCTCCTGCCCACCCCCACCCCCAGGCCGTGTCCCCCGTGGCCCGACAATGGCCGTGCTCCGTGCTGGGCCTGCCCACCATGCAGACCTGCCTGTGCCGTGGGTGCCGTGGGTGCAGGTGTGCCCCCCCGCCCCAGCGTGTGTCTCGTTGCAGGAGGACATCTACCTCTCGCGTGACCGCAACGTCCCCTACAAGTGGACAGCCCCCGAGGCGCTCTCCCAGGGCCTCTACTCCATCAAGTCTGATGTCTGGTCCTTTGGGGTGCTCCTCCACGAGATTTTCAGCAGGGGGCAGGTGCCCTACCCAGGTACCAGGACCCCCGACAGTCCCCCCCACCAGGAGGCGTGGCAGGAGAGGGTGTCACCTGGGCGCCACCCAGAGGGAGGGCCTGAGGTGTGAGCGTGGGGGGTGCAGAGGGCCAACATGGCCCCCCCAGCACCCATGTCCCACTCTCTGCAGGCATGTCCAACCACGAGGCCTTCCTGAGGGTGGACGCGGGCTACCGCATGCCCTGCCCCCCGGAGTGCCCCCCCACCACGTACAAGCTGATGCTCTCCTGCTGGCACAGGGACCCGGGGCAGAGGCCCTGCTTCAGAGCTCTGCAGGAGAAGCTCTCCAGCTTCACCAGGTACGAGAACCCCGTCTGAGGGACCGCCCTGCCCGGCGCAGAAGACCCCCTCACGGTCTGGAGCCTAGGCCACCCCTTCTGAGACCCCAGGACCAGGAGCGTGCCGGGCCCCCCCCCCCACCATTGACTGCAAGTCTGGAGCAGGGCCAGCCTCTCCCCAACGGGAGTGGAACTGTCCCCGGCTGCAACCCCAGCCCCCAGCTCCACCAGGACCAGGGCGGGCCCTCTGGGACAGTCCGTGGTGCAGACCGGGCCCCGGTCTCCCCAGCACCCAGCAGACAGGGCAGTCTGGACACACGTGGGGTAGGCAGAACCGCTGCCACTCGATGAACACACAGGGACTGCAGCACGGAGTGGGGGCGGGAGCTCTTTTGAGGGCCCACTGAGCTGCCCTCCCCTGGCCACTGGAGGCCGGGGGACCCAAGGCAGGTAGATGGCCCCACCGCTCTTCTCAGCTCCCCGAGTCGGACTGTGCCCAACGCCAAGCTGCCCACGAGTGGAAGGCCCCCTCTGAAGCACCCCTCCCCCTACCCTCTGCCTTGGCTCTGGGTGCCTGGGGCCCCGACAAGGGGCTGTAAGTGACACCTCAGTAAGACTGCCCAGGGCTTGCCCCACACAGGCTGGGGCAGCCTTTGTCCTCCCCACCCTCCATGGCGCTGAGGGACCTCATCAAGGTCCTTTAAGGGGCACAGCTCCCCTCAGCTGACAGCTCCGAAGCCCACAGCCAGAGGTCCAGCCTGCCTCCCAGAGGCCAAGGGGCCAGGGGCTGTGTCCTACAGACAACAGGACCTCGGGGGCAGCTCTTGGACCACTGGCTCCCAGGCACCCCACCCTCCTCACCAGAACCGCTCCCGAGGGTGGAGGACCTGGCCCGCCTCAGAGCAGATCCCCAGCAAGGCCCAGGGCAAGGGGCCAGTCCCACCCTCGGCTGGACGATGTCTCCCACAGCTTGGGACACACAAGTCGGGGTGCCACCAGGGGCGCTGCCTGCTCATTGTTTATTTCCCACTTGGTGCAAGGCACATGGTTACAGGGACGGCAGGGAGGCTCGCGTGTGGCTTGGGTAATAAAGAGCACGACTCTCTCAACTTCCTTTTTGGTGTTTTGCTGTTTTGATCTGAAAGAACCCAGCTGGGACTGCTGCTGCCTGCCACAGCCTGCCTGGTGTTCCGGTGGGGTGGGGGGGAGGGGGAGGGGAGGGGGAGGGGCTCCAAAGAGCCCAGCGCCTCTGGAAGCCTGGTGGCTGCTGGTGGCCTCTCAGGATGGAGGCCCGATGTTGACTTGGCCGGGCTGGCCACCAGCTGGCTTCCTCGTGGCTTCCAGGTCACAGGTGATCACGCTGCTGGAGACCTGGGGAGATTTCGAGCTGAGGGGGTGCGTGGGGGGAGAGAAGAGCATGGTCAGAGGTGGCTCCTTGGGGGCCCCAGCCTCCCATGCAGCCTCCAGGAAGGGGGACTCACTGCTCTGGGGATTCCAACACGGTGGCCATGAATGGGAGAGTGGACTTCCCGAAGAAGAAGCTTGCCCACCAGTGACCCGGGTCAGCCTTGGGGAGACCTGGGAGAAACACAGCGGGGTCACGGGCGGCTGCCCACTCCTGGGGACCCCTCCGGATGGCGGCGGGGACCGGAGAGAAGCGGACCCGCACTCACCAGGGTGGTGGGGGATGGCTTCCGCAGCGCACTCGGCACTTCCGCAGGAGCTGTTACTGGAAGTGGAGCCCAGGCGGCCTGCAGGGAAGAGGCAGTCAGCTCCAGCCCGCGGCCCGCTCCCCGCGCAGCCAGGGCTTCTCTGGGGCTGGGGCCGGCAGGGCCCGAGGCGGCTCTGCGGGGGCACAGCCTAGAGGGGCTTACTCACGCCGGTAGTAGTCGTGGGTAGCCACGAGCGAGCCGCTGGAGGGGATGGCCGCCATGCTGCTGGTTGTGGGCTGGTGGACACCTGCGCACAGGGGGCCGGGAGCCCACTCAGTAACCGACCGCCCCTCGGAAGGGTGCTCCGCACCCGGGCTCCCGGTCTGCCCCCTGAGACCCTGGGAGGGGCGGTGGCGCGGGGTTTGCTTGCCCAGCCCCGCCGGCCGCCTACGACTAGCAGGGCGGCTCCAACCAGCGCAAACTGGCTGCGCGAGTGGAACAATGGCGCTTTGTGTGCGGGGCCCCCGTCTGGAGCTCCGGGAATCGGCCAGGCTCCGGGGGGCCACGGAGCCCACACCGCGTCCCCGGCCGCGGGACCCGTCCCGCACCGCACCGCAGCCCTCTCCCCGCCCTTCGCGCTTTCCCTCCCGCGCCCGCCGCCCCGCCCCGCCCGACTTCGAGTCATTGGGTCCGCCCGGGGTCTGTCTGCCAAGCGTTGTGCACCGGCCGCCTCTGCCGCCCACGGCCGTCCGGGGCCCTCACCTCGGCGGCGACCCCTCGCGGACCTCGGCGCGCGATCACGAGTGGCGGGAAGCGGGGCGCTAGGCCACGGAGCCCATTTGCAAAGGAGAGCGCAGGAGCCCGACCTACGAGTGAGCCGGTCAGGGGTGCGCAGGCGCGAACATGCCCGCATTTATCCCCGCGCTGCGCTCGCATCACCGGGGGGCGGGGCGCTCAGGCCACGCCCCCTGGCCCGGCCGGCCTTCGGCCCCGGCGGAAGTTCAGCCCCGGAGCATCCGTCCGACCTGGGGCGGCCGGGGCAGCGCGGCCGGCCCGCCCGGGAGCTGCGGCGGTTACGTGACCCTCCGCCCCGTCCCAGAGCAGGGCCTGTCCCCTCTTCCCCGGCCCGGCCGTCCTCTCGGACCCCCGCTGGTCCCGCCTGTGTCCGCCTGCGTGCCCCGTGGTTGCGGCGGGGCGCTGGACAGTGGCCCCTGCACTTCCGGTCCGGTCCGGTCCGGTCGCGGCCCACAGCCCTGGGCCGAGCCCCGCAGCGCAGCCTCCGCCCGGCTCCCGTCCTCGGCCTCGACTCTCACTCTCGCCCCGCACGGACCGGGCTTCTGCTCGTCTGCCCGCCCTCGCACCAGCCGTGGGCGCTGGCTGGTACCCAGGGGCTGCTCTGCGCCCGGAGCGCCCCAGCGGGGGGGCCCGCTATTCCAGGCCCTTCAAAGACTTGACGGCCGGTGAAGCCCACCGCGGCCCCTTCACGTCTCTGGTGGCTCTGGACGACACATCCCCGCCCGTCAGCTCCAGCCTGCCTCCAGCGGCTTGCAAGGCCGGGGTGGGGCGGAGGGCAGGGCACAGGCAGAGGGGTTTCCTTGACTGGGAGGGTGGCGAGTTGCTGTTTGGGGGTTTCTCCAGCAGCTGGACACAGAGGCCCCCTGTTTGGGGCGACCCTAGAAAACTTCCCCTTGGTGCCAGGGGCCCTGCCACACCCTGGCATGTCAATCAGGAGATGGACTTCCTTTCGGGGGTGGAGACCAGCCCCTCCACCCCCAGCCTCATCACCGGGGCAGAAGCCCCAACTTCCCCTGCAGGGAGGGAGAGTCGGCAGCTCTGGAAGTTCCGCTCTTTGCTCGCAGGCCCCTGGCTGGCTGGGCAGTTTTCTTCCCCCGAGGTTGGGAGGGTCTCAGGAGGCCTGTGGGGACTTCGGGGTGGGGGGACGCTGCCAGAAGACTCCACACCCCCCCTCGGGGCTCTCCACATCTCCAACACCCTCAGGAAGCCTTCCAGCGTTCCTGGCCTCTGTCCACGTTCTCATGGACCAGGCCGGGAAAGCAGAGCCCCAAGCAGGGGCTGTGGCACCTTCCTGAGGGGGCTTCTGGGGAGGCCAGATGGGACAGGGGCGTGGCTGGCACCCGGGCTGGAGGCGCTCCAGGCGGCTCACACCTGGGGGCTGGAGCTGTTGTGGTTCCCCGCACCTTTAGCTACCTGTGTGGTTGCTCCAGCCACCAGTGCCTGGGGGCAAGGCGAGAGCTCTGCAGAAGCCCCCAGGGCCCCTCGACCTGCTCCCCGAGAAGGGAGAGCGGGGTCAGGAGCGCAGCCGCCTCACCCAGTACCGTCACTGTCGGAAGACCCCGTCCCCAGGGGCAGCTGGCTCTCCAGCACAAGCTGGAGTCGCTGTAGGTAGTGTCACCATCCGCAGAAGAAAATGCCTCTTCTGGGTCATAGTTAACAAGTGCCTACTACATGAGAGGTGCTTTGCGTGGCCACATAGGATGTCCTGGGGGAGCAGCAGCCGCAGCTGCTGCCCTCTGGCCCCCTGATCTGTGAGGTGGGGCTGCAGTGCTTAGACTAGTACCAGCACGCAGTAGGTGCTCAGTGAGAGTGAGGCACCATCGTTGTTTACAGCACTCTTCACTACTGGAAACAATGCCATCTGTTTACTCGTTGGCGACGCAGCACCTCCAGGAGCAGGGCTGGTGTCTGCTCCCCCCTCCGGGGCTGAGGCAGAGCCAGCCACGCCGTGGGCACCGCGTGGCTGTGTGTGGTGAGGGGCGAATTATGTAATGAAAGGCGGTGCCAGCTTTCAGCACGCAGGGCCGAGGAGGCTGGCAAAATCTCTCCCCAGACGCAAGAGCTGGCCCTGGAAAACCCGTCTGAAGCAACCACTGGCGCTCTGACATTCGGCCCCAGGCACACAACAAAGTGAAAAGTGCTTGTTCATTGAAAATACTCAACTTCAGGGTAAAGTGCAACATTCCTCAGCATGAGACAGCCGGCACCTCTCAGCCGGCAGGGCAACGCACTGCCCGACACCAGCGCGGAGGTGACTCGGTGCCAGGGCGCTCCCGGGGGGCTGGGGAGCTGCCGCGGCAGGAGCCCCCAGTGAGCGGCAGCGAGGGATGGAGAAAGGCCGAGTCCTGTCCCAGGACCGGGCCAGGCGAGGCTGCCCTGGTCGCAGGCTGCACGGCGGTCTGTTGTCTCGGAACCCACAGAACCGCTAACTGAAGAATGACAGCAAGATGCGAGGTCAGCACACAGGAACCAGTCAGGTTTCTGCAGACTGGCAACCCACACGGAGAGGCAGACATTTTTAGAAGCACCACTTGTGACAGCTGCTCTCTGCCCACAAAACACTTAAAACACTCAGGTGTACAGCCAGGCGAGCATGCACGGAGCTCATGTGCCAGAAAATGAGAAGCTAGTGAAAGAAATCAAAGACCTTTGCAAAGGGAGACCCAGGGCAGAAAGGACGCCCATTCCCTCCAAACGGATGCCCGGCTTTGATGCAACTCCAGTAAACACGCCAGTAAGCGTTTTGAAGATACAGACAAGCAGATGCTAAGATTAACGTGTGGAAGGAAGGACAAATGAACCCTACTAAGTAACGCTTTTCTGAAATATAAGAATGCACTTGGTTAAAAAACACACACCAAGTGTTGCTATTCAGAGACTGAGGACAAGGTCCCCCCCAGCAAGGTCCAGCCTCCTGGGTCTTGTGCGCTCCCTGCGTCTGCTCCTGCCCGGGCCGCTGGCCGGCGGTGAGGCGGGAGGCTCCCAGCGGCCCTGCTGTGCTGGGAGGGGAGGACGTGGCTTTCAGTTGCTGAAGAGCTTCCGGCTCCCAGGGCAATTCTGCCCAGAGATGCCCCCTTGAACTTGAGGTCAGGGAGGCTGGCTCAGCACAGCTGCCTCCCCCATCAGCCTCTCAGGGCAGGGGCTCAGGGGAGCCGCTCTGCTTTCCGGTCAGCCCCGCAGGGGACCTGGATCCCTCAGGCGGGGCGGGGGGGGGCGGGGGTGTGTGGAGCAGCCCGGCCGATGCTGCTGCTTCCAGCTGCCTCTCTGAGTCTGTGCCCGCCTCCCAGCCCGCAGTGGGCAGAATGGTGTGCCCCCTCCCCCGGAAGCAGGTGGGCGCTGGGCCTGTACAGGGCAGAGGCCAAGCTCCAGTGTGGGTGCCCGCTGCACGCAGGTTGCCACGCCGGCTCCTGGGAAGTGAGGACCTGGGGGGTGGAGCCTGCAGAGAAGCCTGTGCCTTCACCATGGCAACGGCTCCCTCCTGCCGCCTCCCTCCCGCCTGCGGCAGGTATCAGGGGGCCCCAGACAGCTCCAGTGGCCAAGTGCCCCAGGGAGGGGGGGTGGCGCAGGCCGGGCTGCCCTCCCCCACCCTGAGCGGCTGTGTCTCCCTCTCTGGACTTCCCTGGCAGACCCCGGGGGCCTCGTGCACTCCTAGACACAGGGTTTGGTGGGGTGGCGCATTGCGGGGGGCCCTGGGCCGTTCTGTGAGTCACGCCGACTCCCCCTCACTGGGCCGGCTGGTGGGCCCTGGGGGTCTAGCCTGTCCCCCTACCCTCGCCCCTGCCCCCCCTTCTTGCCCCTCTCCGATTGAGGGGCCATGACCTTGCTTTTCTGGGGGAAGCTCTGTGGCCAAGAGTCCCTGTGCACCCAGGAGAGCACTTAATTTGCACCTTGTGGGTGCTGGGCCCAGAGAGCTGGGTGGGGGGGTGCTTGTCTCCAAAGGTCCTGCTGCCCAAGTGGACTGGGAGACGGACTGACTCCGCAGGCGCAGGACAGTGCGCACCGGTGCCCTGGGGTCAGAGGGTGGCCCAAGGCCAGGGCTCAGGGTCCGTCTGAGACCACCTGAGGCCGGAGTCCCACTGAGCCAAGCCCCGGCCCCGCCCAGTCTCCTCCCCCCGTGGCCGTCGCCTGGGTGGCCAGCGCCCCCTGCCGGTCTGGCCCCCGCAGGACTGCGCAGGCACAGGTGGTTTTTTATGCCGCCGCAGGTTATTCTTAACCAGCAGTGACGTCACCGGCAGCCAATGGGAGGCGGCTTTATTTCCAGGGCCGACAGCTTGCGAGCCGTTCCTTTTAGCAGGATCTTCTTCCCCAGGCTCCAGCCCCAGCCACCCAGGAGGGGGCCGCCTGTGTCTCCCCAAGCTGTTCACGGGCTGGGCCTGGGGCCCAAGAAAGGGGGCGGGGCCTGTGCCCCTTCCTCCTGCCCTCCTGAAAGCCTCGCCGTGAGGCAGCACCAGCTAAAGCCCCCGCCCTCAGCTGCTGTGGGGCCCACCGCGACCAGGGTCTCAGACGTGGGAGAAGGGACGCATGGGGGCGGGGCAGCTCCGGGTGGACCTGGGTGGGCTTCTGGCTCGGGCCTCCCAAGCCGGCTGCACACTCTGCCCTCCTGGCTCTGTGACCTTGGGCACTGCCCGTGCCCAGCCGGCCCTCCGTCCGAGGGTCCCGGGCAGCCCCGCCCGGCACCCGGTGGACTGCCGAGGCTCGGTGACTGGCCGATTAGTAGGCCATGGAGCGTGCAGTGTGGCTGAGTATTCCGTGCTACCCAGGAGTGAGTGGTCAGTTAGCACAGTTCACCCGGTCGTCCTCTGGGGCTGGGCGGCCGCGGTCACTGAGCACTGCTCGAAGGCTCGCAGCTGTGTGGTACTGTTGCCGTGTTAGTACCGAGCACCCAGCCACCGACGTCACAGTCCTCGTGGCCGAGAATCTCAGGACGGGACGGCCGAGTCGCCTGGGCTCCCGGGCGCCGCAGGGCTGCCCGGCGGTGGGTGGAGGGCCGGAGTCCAGGCCCTCTGAAGATGCCACCTGGCACACCTCCTCGGGGTTGGCACAGGCCCCTGGGAGGACGCTGCCTCCCAGCGGCCCGGCCAGTGCTCTGGGCAGCGTGGCCGCGAGGATGGGCCAGCCCCAGCA